AGGTGCACCTTAGTCTTCAAGCTGACATCTCTGCTCTTCAATACTTCAAAAAGTTGGTAGCGTAGTGGTTACAAATCAGGCTGTGAACCTTAAGGTCAGCAGTTTGAAACTACCAGCCGCTTCACAGGAGAAAGATGAGGCTTTCTGCTCCTATAAAAATGTACAGCCTCGGAAACCTTGTACACGGTTGCTATGGGTCGGAACTGACTCGACGGCACTTAACAACAACACCCTCCTAGTGTGGTGCTGTAGTATCAGCACTGGACTGTGAACCACAAGCCTGGCAGTTCAAACCCACCAGCTGCTCCTTGGACCCTATATGGGTCACTATGAGTCAACAGACTCTACCACACTTAACAACAACAACAACCCAATCACTTGGTTGGAAGTAAGGAGACAGAAAAGCCGTATCAAATAAATTCAAGATATCACAGGAATCTTTACAGAAGCAAATCTTGAGGGCTTTCTTCTGTGGTACCACTGAGTGGGTTTGAACAGCTCACATTTAGATTAGTTGTTTGGTGCCTTCAAATCAGTTTTGAATTATAACAACTCTATGTATCACAAAAAGAAACACTGCCCAATCCTGCACTATCCTCACAATCGTTCCTATGTGAGCCCATTGTTTCAATCACTGTGTCAGTCTTTCTCATTTAAAATCTTCCTTTTTTTTCCATGGTTGGTTCCTTGGGACTGGTTCCTGGTTATCCTTGGGACTGGATAACATATCCAAAGTATGTGAAACAAATCTTGTCAGCCTCACTTCAAAGTAGTAATCTGTTTCCAACGCAAACTGTTTGCACCACAATCTCTTTTTCACAATTCCTGAAGTGTGAGGATGGGACAGAACAAGAGACAATTTGAGTCATTAGCTTCTATGCAATTAAACCCATTAAAAGTATAAATTCATTAAAGTAGTTTGATGCCTAAAACTACTCAGTGGGTCATCACCATATGTTGGAATTGACTTCTACAACAGCTGGTGTTTTTTGTTTTTCCTTTGGTGGCAAAAGTTTTACATGAGAAGAAATACCTGCAAAGAAAAATATCATGAAGATTGATGAAAGGGAATACTCACAGTAATGGCCTAGTGTCTGATTCTAGGTAGTCTGCTGTAGATAGCAAGGCCCCAGAGAGGGAATGATTCTGTGGTATGGGGAAGTCATAGATAACCTCAGAAAAATGCTTATACTGCAGTGTGGCTCTGTAAAAGCAAAATTATGGGGATATCTGCAAATGAGACCTAACTACTAGGAAGTGATGTCTAAAATCCTAAGAAATATTGGATACAGGAACGAGAAGCCTACTATCTCCTCCAAAACCTAGGGCAAAGGAGGGTAGTAGAGAATTTGCTGGGATTTTCCAGTTCATAGACTAGAAGTTCAAAATACTAGAATGGAAGTGAAATAAAATTACATTACTTGTGGTGGTGGTGGTGGTGGTGTGCTATTGAGTTGGTTCTGACTCATAGTGACCCTGTAAATCTTTATGGGAGCAGAAAGCTCCTGTGGAGAAGCTGGTAGCTCTTAACTGGGTTAACAGCCCAGCCTGTAATCCACTACCATACCAGGACTCCCTACGTTCTTTTCTTTTTATTTAATTTTTAATTTTTTATTGTGAATTTAGTGAAGGTTTATAGACAAGATCATCAACTTTATAGTCAACAAATTATACACTTTGTTTCATCTCAATGATTACAATCCCATTCTGCAACAACAGTTATCCTACTTCCTCCCTGAGGGTCCCTTTTAGATTTTATATTTCACAAATGAACAAAGAAAAAATATTTGATGTATACATAAAAATATATATAAAGG